TCAAATGGCCTTCCAACAGCACAAAAATAGGTTCCAAGGGACCTCAGCCCAATGGTGGTCAAGTTTGATCAAGGGTCTCTAGGCCAAGGAGAGGTGTATCTTGAAGTGTATCTCTTGTATGCACACAAGGGCAAGAGAGAGAGCAAACTAGAGAGAAAGGCTGAAATTTAGCTTTGAAATTTCTAGGGAGAGAGGACTTTTTTAGAGAGAGAGGCTCCCAAAATTGCTTCAATGTTCTTCTTTTTCAAAATATGAGATATGGCTCCATATATAGCAAAAATGAAGCTTTGGTCGAAATATCTGAGTTTGGAAATATCTGGAGCAGTGTACGACAGCTGGAGGGAAAAGATCGGCAAAAAAAAAAATGAATTTTTTTAAAAAGTGGCCAGCAGGCTACTTCAACTAACCGGCCAGCCACCTTAACTGGCCGGCCGGCTACTTTTCTGGCCGACAGCAAAAATCTGCTCTGCAGGTCAAACTTCAAATGGGCATATCTCCTTCATCTGGACTCCTTTTCAGGTCATTCTTGTGTCCAAATTGAAGACCCGGAAGTAAGCTTTCCAATGGTAGCAACCTCACATCAAAATTAAAGCCATACAAAAATTTATGCCTATTTTGGTGAAGCCGCTCAGTTTCAATCCTTCCCGAATTCATGCTGAACTTCTCCCAAACTAGTTTTCTTCTCTCTTCTTCTCTTTTCTTCAACTCAAAACCCCTAAACAAGGTGTTTTGAAAGACTTTTCAAAGATTTCACCTCTCTTTCATTCATTTCCACTTTGTCCTTACTCAGTTTACCGAAAAGCGCAAAATTTAACAAAATGCGAGCGTCGAAACATCGTAGGAACCTATTTTCAAAAATATTTTGAAAGTGACAGTTTTAAGGTCTAAAAACCATTCAAAATAGTTTAGGTCCAAAAAGGGGTGTGAGGTTGGGATTTGACTTTTCTCTTGCCGAAGAAATCGAACCTTTGCACTGCATAACTTTCATCACCAAGTAAGCAATTAGTGACGCCCAAGTCTTCAGGGCGGTCAAAAATGGGGTGTCTACAGTTGCCCCTGTTTGACAGAGCTCAAAGTTATGAAATGACATGAGTGAATGTCAAAGTCCAGAGACGACCCATTTTTGACAAGGCTGAAGACTTGGACAAACAAACAAAATACAGATAAATAAATGGTTGCGCTCGCAAGCTGCCTACGTATCCCTTTGCCAGGAATCAAACCAGCGTAGTTCAGGGGCAGGATGCAAAACGATACATAATATAACAAAACAGTGTAAATGATATACAATGCAATGAAATAATCAACCCACAAGTAGTGTAAAACCACACAAATATCATAAAGGGATGGAGATGTAACACCAAACTACGTTTAACACAGAAAAGGTGCCGAAAACCTCAAACCACAATTCTCTTAGTGAGGTAGGCATATGCACATGCAAAACTATGTGTTTCGCATAAAGAAACCGACTACAAGTAATTGGGTGGGATGATATAAGTGACAAATGACCTGCTGAGGAAAGATCGTGATCCTACATGCTGAATGCAACAAAACAAACTACGATGCAATGGATGTAGTGAATAAAGCACACGGCCAAACCACGTCTTGCCTAGAAAAGGCATGGACACAAAACAGACCACGTCTAACATAGAAAAGGTGCCGACACTCTCAGACCACAATTCTCTTAGTGGAATAGGCACGTACACATTACCTCAGAACCATGTTGTAACCAAGGAAATGTATGAGCACATGCCAAACCAAGCTTAACATAGAAAGGATGCAGGCAATAAAATTGTATAATGCAATAGATCTAACAAATAGTTCAATAGATGCAAAAGGGGACATACTCCAACCAGGCTAGAATTGTGAGAGGAGAAAGAACAAATCCCAAACACGCAGAAATCGTGTGAGGAAGGGGACACTCAAACCACGTTGAAAACGTGAGAAGAGGTCCGAAAACAACCAATTAAGGGCGCATTCCACGCGTCCTAAGATAAATTCCAAACACGCTGAAATCGTGTGAGGAAGGGGACACTCAAACCATGCCAAAATTGTGAGAAGAGGTCCTAAGAAAAGCAATTAGGAGCACACTCATTCGCAACCTGAAATAACTTCCAGACACGCTGAACTCGTGTGAGGAAAAGAAAATTTGTTGGGAGTTTGACATGTTTGGCAACGATTTTAGTGGAGCCGACGATTTTTGAGGAAGTGAAGACCAGACAGAGGGAAGATGAATTCTTCAAAAAGGTGATTGATCATTTCAGGATTGTGATTAATGAAGATTTGGGTTATGAGGAGAGGCCGATACGAATTCTTGATAGGCAAGTGAAATAGTTGAGGAACAAGTCGATACCGATGGTGAAGGTTGAATAGAAAGAGCATTATGGCAAGGATGCTACTTGGGAAATGGAAGAAGAAATGAAAATCCTACATCCAGAGTTCTTTGTGGGACGAGGTAACTTAAGTTTGGGGACAAACTTCCTTAAAGGGGGTAGGATGTAATAACTCTCGCTTCATCTTGGTCGTGCTCACATGCATACACATGAATTTGTTTTGTTAAGTTGCATTTAAAGACCTTAATTTGTTTTGTCTGAGTGTTGCTTGCATGTTTTGTTTCTCGTTTGGTGTGTGTTAAGCCGAGGTCATCTTAAGCCTAGGTCACACCGTTGAACCTCTTACACCTAGGACCATCTTGGAACCATTTTGGTTTACCTTCATCTTCACCCTAGCGTCTTGGCCGAGATGTCATCATCTAGGCCGAGATGCTATCATCTAGGCATCCAACATCCTTGAACCTTGCACCTAGTGACCTTGTACTAGGACTGGAATGACCTAGACCAAGGTGTGGCACAGCTGGGCCAAGTGTTATCCTTCCTAGCCGAGATCATTGAGACCTTACTTGCCGAAGCCTTTGTCCTAACCCGAGATCATTACCTGCTGGAGTGCCCATGTCACCTTTCTTGTTGTATACACTATGTCATACTCTTGTCTTGTCAGTCAGTCAACTTTTGAGGAGAGCCAACCAGCCGTTGCCACGTGTCCCAGTAGAGGGTTAAGTCAGCCGGTAGTAGAGAAAACATATCATTTGTTGTATCCTTGTCCTAGAAGAGAGAGAAGCTCTAGGAAGAGTGGAAGAAGAGTTCTTCGAGTGAGAATAGATTTCCAAGCTTGATCTTCACACCTTGAGCCGTTAGACCCGCGTTTCGAGGTTAGAATCTTGATATGCTCTTGTTGTTCTCCATGTTCATCTAATCACATTGCATGATCTAGCATTATTCATGAGCTATGCATTGATGTAAATCTTGTTTTAGAAAGAGAAAATGATGTTCTTGTATTCTTGAAATAAAACCATATTTTGATCCGAAAGTTTGTATCGAGATCCATGTTTTCGTGTTTGTTCTCATGAAACCTCCAAGTATGGGTACCCAGGTCCATGTTTTCGAACTCATCTCATGAAGTCTCAAATTTTGTAATAACAAGTTAAGATTTTAGCATTTATGTTCTTTATGTTCTTCATGTTCATGTTCTTCCTATTTCTCGAAGGGAAACCCAAATTTTCCCGACTTCATTTCCCCGAATATGGTCATTAGGACCACACCTCGGCCAAGAGATGTCGGACCTCGGCCAAGACCTGGTTGGTGCCCAGCATGTTTTCCCGAGATGAGAAACAGTGTTTTAACTCCCAGCACATGTTTTGCTTGGTCTTGACTTAGTTTTGAAAGAAATGCCGAGATCATTTACACTCATGCAAAGCTTGTTTTAGGAATGTATTTCATATCCATCTTTGAGCATCTCTTCTTGCCTTCTTGAAATGCATTCAATGGGATTTATTATGTGCTTGTAGGCCTTGGATCCTTGCTTGTAATCCCCACACCCGAAGAGCTATATGAGTGGTATTTTTAATAAAGCTATGTTATAAAGTTTTGATAAAGCTTTGCTTTGCTTTGGAAAAGTATTTGATCAAGCATGAATGACTATCCCCAGTTTTGTATCAAGTATTATATTTGTTTTGATGACATTCTTGGAAAGTCCTTAGTGCTAGGGGACTATAATGCAACTAGTACCCTTGTTTTGAAAGTCCTTAGTGATAGGGGACTATAATGCAACTAGCACCCTTGTTTGAGATATCTCCGTTGTGTTGCCACCGACGGTTTACCGCATGGGTTTGTCCGGAATGTCATCCCTTGTATTATATTGATGCTAGTAAGCATCCCTTGAAGCTTTGAAAGATTTGATAGATGAACTTGGTTCATCCCTTGATTTTGTACAATTATGATATGTATTGTTTGATAAAGATCTCGGATGTCATTCATTTAAACATTTATTACTAATATCATTCACTGAGTATCCAAGCTCACCCTCTCCATATATATATGTAGGTGACGAGCAAGAAGGCGGTAACGCCTAGATGATTATTTGCAAGTTATTTGGATTCATATTTTGTAGCATCTTGAAGATTATGCTTCTTGGCTTGGCCATTGTAGTTCGTTTTGTATATGTCGGCTTGAGAAGCCTTTTGATCAAGATGTAATATGCATTTGTTTTATTTGTACTCAAGTTGTAAAACCACGTTACGTATGACATTTCATTTTATCTATGCACAGCTCTTGTAGAATATTTCGATTTAAATTTATTACTTCCGCACATGTAAGCCCCATATGTATACTCTGATTGTGTGTGACTTGCAAGTTGGCCTTTGGTAATCTCGGATTACTGGCCTTCATGGCACCATTCTACTAGGGGCGGAATGGGGTCGTGACAATAAATCCCCAACTAAGATTAAAGTATAAATTTAATTTCATTCAACTCGTTACAACCTTTCCCTCTTAAAGAATTTTGTCCCCGAAATTTAAACTAGATAACCTCGCTGAATCAAAATCAACTACAACTGTAGAAACGCAATCATGGCATGATAACACAACAACCTCCCAATTAAACATAAGAAATTCACCCTATTTCGTAACATATGCAGTGTACATCCTAATATCAAAATAACATTTCTATTACAACTCTCTAACATCGATAAAAAGGTCTGGATTCTTCTCACAGACTTCAGCCTCACGTTCCCAAGTCGCCTCCTCAACCCCGTGGTGTCTCCATAACACTTTCACCAAGGTAATTGTCTTACCACGCAAGACTTGATCCCTAGTGTCTAAGATCCTCACTGGTCTCTCCTCATAAGAGACATCCTTGTCCACCTCTAACTTAGTCCAATCCAACACATGTGATGGATCGGGCTCGTATTTCCGAAGCATAGAAATATGAAAAACATCGTGAACTCCAAATAGTGGTGGCGGCAAGGCTAACCAATATGCCACTTCCCCAATACGCTCCAAAATCTCAAAAGGCCCAACGAAGCGCGGAGACAACTTCCCCTTCTTCCCAAACCTCATCAAACCCCGCTTAGGTGAGATCTTAAGAAATACATGATCCCCAACCTCAAAAGATAACAGCCTCCTCCTGCGGTCGACGTAGCTCTTCTGACGACTCTAAGCTGTAACCAATCTCTTACGGATAAGAGCAATCTTCTCTGTCGTTTCCCGAACCAACTCCGGGCCTATCATAGGTGCATCACCCACCTCGGCCCAACACACTGGGGATCTACATGGTCCACCATACAAGGCCTCAAATGGTGCCATGCCAATACTCGATTGGAAACTGTTGTTGTAGGAAAACTCCACTAAAGGCAAGTGCTTCTTCCAAGACCCCTCTCCACCTTACCACTAGCAATCTTCTCCTGGATGGTCTCAACCTCCGGATCACCCATCTATGCCTCAATAACTCGACTCACTAGTGTAGGTTGTGCAACTACAGTAAACAAGGTAGCCAACTCAGCAGACTCACCAAGATACAAGTCAAACTCGCCGATAGGACCCAACATCTCCCATTCCCGAACAACAATACAAGCTGCCCTGCCAGAGGATTTCCAACTCAAAGCATCGGCGACAACATTGGCCTTCCCGGGATGATAATGTAACTCGAAGTCATAGTCCTCCATGAACTTCATCCACCTCATCTGTCTCAGATTCAGATCCTTCTGAGAAAACAAGTACTTCAGACTCTTATGATCTGAGAACACCACAAATATCTCGCCCTATAAATAATGCCTCCAGGTCTTCAAGGAAAAGATCACTGCTGCTAACTCTAGATTATGAGTAGGGTAGTTTCTCTTGTGAATTTTTAACTGCCGTGAACCATAAGCAACTACCTTCCCTTCCTGCTTCATGACACAGCCTAAACATTCTCGAGATGCGTCACAATATACAACATAACCCAAACCCCTCTCCGGGATAATCGAAACTGGAGCAGTAGTGAGTCTAATTTTTAACTCCTGAAATGACTTCTCACAAGTCTCACTCCACACAAATATGATTCCCTTCCTCATCAGTCTGGTCAATGGAGCGGCTAGACTAGAAAAGTCTTCCACAAAACGGCGATAATACTCGGCCAACCTCAAGAAACTTCGGATCTCAAAGGCGTTCTTGGGTTGCCACCAATCTTGCACTACCTCTATCTTACAGAAATCCACAGCCACCCCTTCTCCAGATACCACATGGCCTAAGAACTTTACCTCTTTCAGCCAAAACTCACACTTCCTGAACTTAGCATATAACTGATGGACTCTAAGCAACTCCAACACAACCCGCAAGTGTTCCTCTTGCTCCTCTTCAAAGAGTGAATAAATCAGAATTTCATCAACATAGACAACCACAAAGCGATCAAGATACTCACAAAAAACCCAATTCATCAGGTCCATAAACAAGGCCGGTCCATTAGTCAACCCAAAAGGCATGACTAGGAACTCATAGTGGCCATACTGCGTACGGAATGTCATCTTCGGGATGTCCTCCTCCCTCACCCTCAACTAGTGATAACCCGATCTCAAGTCTATCTTTGAAAAGAAAGAAAACCCCTTCAACTAATCAAACAGATCATCTATACGGGGCAATGGGTACTTGTTCTTAATAGTCACCCAGTCCAATTTCCGGTAATCAATACAAAGCCGTAATGTACCATCCTTCTTTTTAGCAAAAAGGGCCGGTGCTCCCCACGGTAAAGTACTAGGGCGGATAAAACCCTTGTCTAGCAATTCCTAGAGCTGAATCTTCAACTCACTCAACTCAGCAGGTGCAAACCTACACGGAGCCATGGAAATCGGTGTCGTGCCCAACACTAGGTCAATAGAGAACTCAATCTCTCGGTGAGGTGGTAAACTAGAAAGATCCTCAAGAAAGACATCCGGGAACTCACAGACTACCCTCGGCAGCTCAACCTAGATTATATCACACTCTGCCCCTAAGAATGCAGCAAGAAAGAGGCTAAGCTCGCCCCGACCGCGCGGGTCACAAACCGGCAACAAAGCCCTATCAACTTGATCTCCCAAGAAATAAAAGCAGCCACCGCTTGAGGTACACACGATAACCCTCTGACGGGAACAGTTGATAACAGCCCGATATGTAGACAACCAATCCATACCCAGTATAACATCAAAACTGAACATATCAAGCAAAGAAAAAGAAAATGGAAGTCGATGACCGGCAACCTCTATATCACAACCTCGACATCCCTGTTCTAACACAATCTCACCCCCAACCGGTGACTCTATGCAAAGTGGCAATGCTAACTGAGCCAACTCTAACCCTAATGCCGATGCAAACGCAGTAGAGATAAAGGAATGTGATGCACTCGTGTCATTTAGTACATTGGCAATAGAATTGCAGAACAAGAAGGTACCTCTCACAACCGATGGTGCTGGCACTAACTCTGGCATGGTAACAACATACATACGCCCAGTAGGTCTCTGATCCACCTGCTCCCCTCTCGGAGCATAAGCCGGATGTACAGACTGAGATGAAGAGGCTCTTGGAGTGGCCCTCGAGGCCTGTGCCGACTGTACTGGCTAGTGACTCTGAGCCTGCCTCGATTCAGATGCACCAGGTGTAGACCTGACTTTCTTCGCGCGTCCCCGTTTCGGAGAGGGCGCGAATTGGTCTTACTGCATTTCGGACTCTTGTCACGGTTCTGAATCTAATCTCACAAAGTGCAATGTGAGGCTGATAACACCAAAGAGTCCAAATCCAGCAATTGGTTTTGGAAAATCAATTTTGAATGAAAAAAGCCCAAACATGGACTACTTTGCTAGATTACAAAGTCGCCGCCTAAATATTTTGTTTTGGGAAATTTAGGAAACCCTGACTCGTGCTAAAGGCTACGTGTCCATCATCACCAAAGTTGCCTCACTCAGGAACTTGGGTACGAGAAAGGAAGGTCATGAAATGAGCACCCTTGCTCACCCGATCAAAGGATCGGCCTCTACTACCATGATATGTCATTTTTATAAACACATGTGTTCTTATTCTAGTTATTATCTAACTTACTATGTGATGCGCACAACATACAACTATAAACTCAATCACGAGAATTGGAACAAAACAACTCATGTTTGTTTTCGAAAATGGTTTGAAAGTGTTACTCGCAAGTAGGCTAAAGCACGGATTTGCCACTCTCAAGTGGGCTTGAAATCAAGATTTTGCCACTTAGAAAATGGGGCTTAAATCTCGTATTTGATGAATTGTCCCAATTCATGCAATCAAGCCTCTACCCATAGGCATTCATGCAGTTAAGCATTTAAGCAAATAGCCTCATGGCAAGCATGCTATCATGACGACACTCACACTCATGCAAGGATGCTAAAGCGTAAACACTTACAGTGTACTCCAGCCAAAACAGAAGCTAGTTAGAAATCAATGCATGATCCTAACTATACAGAATGCCTAATGCAACACATGCAATAATGCAACTAAATAGGCTCGGCTATCTAAGGTGGCATATGAATGCAACACTTGATAACATGCTTTGAAACACGTAGTCAAGTGAGTGTATTGAAATATAATGCAGTTTGAATGATGCAAAGAGCCCAATGCATGCAAGACAAATGAATGATGCATGCATGCAAGTATAAGGAAGCTAATCAAAACGTGCCCTAAGCTAACCATCAAAAGATGATATGTAAAAGGGAGAAAGAAGTGGGGTTGGAAGACATGCACACACACACACATGCTTATTACAACATTGCGCCCTCTTGAAGGAGGGTCCGAATAAATAAGCTAACTAGCTATGCTAAGCTAAGCTAACTATTACAAACCAACTAATTAACTAACTTAGCTAATTAATTACAAACCGAATTGAAGCTAGCTACGCTAAGCTAATTAGAATATTACAAAGACGAATTAGATTAGCTAAACACATTAACTAATTAATTAAAAAACGCCAAATTAACTAGCTAAGAAAAACAGTAAAATGGCCTCGAGGGAAGGGAGACATGCATGCTCGGTCTGCTTCACCCGAAAACGCATTGCCTTGCCGTAAGTTGCCTCTGTTTGCACTCGCGGTGATCTCAGAACCTCATATAAACTTCTAGGTTGCATCTGCCCCAACACAGGAACATTTTACACAATTTCTCCTGCAGGTGGCCGGCCGGCCACCTCAACTTGTCGATAGGCTACTTCAACTGGCCGGCCGGCTAGTACAAGTGGTCGGCATGCTAGTGCAAGTGGCCGGCCAGCCACTTTTCTTTCCAGAATTCTGCCTTTGCTGCAACAGAGAGCAACAGAGTCAAGGCAATGTATTTGGCTAGAAATGTGTGTACTACCACCCTCCTCATCATGTCTCAAGCTCAAAGGAGTGTGGTACTTAGCTCTCAAGCCACCAATCAAGCATCTCAATGCATGATGGCCCAAGAACCAAGCTTGTACAAGCTTAGTGAATGCGCACAAAAGACTCAAACTGTTGTCAACCTATCATGCATGCTCAAGGGTGACAACGACCAAGGAATGCGACACGTTTCATCACTTTGAGTGTGAAATGTCTCACATTTCTTGTGTTTGGATTAACGTCTGATCCAAACAAATGCAATGCAACACACATATGTTATCTTGGCATGTTTTACTTGATTCAATTCTTGTTTACTCATTTTAACTTACCAATTAGTCCACTAACCGGTTAAGTTCAATTGTGAAAAGTCCTCAAATTTGCAAGATGACCTAAGCTTTGGGTGCTTTGAGCATGAAGGAAGTATCATGCTATTGGTTAGTAGAAATCCTCAAGGGATGATTAAAACCAATAGGCATGAATGCCTCAAGTTCATGCTCAAGCCAACAAGGGGCTTAAGGCCACTTTCAAGGTGAATGAAAGATTGAAACAATAGAGTGCAATGACACATATTTTAGCATTGAAATAACATGCTAAGTGACTTAAAAACAATGCAAACAACTCATGTAATGCATGCTCAAAAGCCAAATACCTTAAGCTAGTAAAGAGCATCACTCTAGAAGCATGCAATATCAAACTCAAAGGACCAAACCAACTCTGGATAGACCTCAAACATGACAAA